CCAAACTGAAAGCGACTGATTTGTCATGGAGGCTTCTTGGGCAAACCATGGAGGAATTGACAAGGGTGGGAAGAGAGGATGTGTCTATTTCTTCATCCTCTGGAAGGAGGCAAAAACCCTTGCTGATTTTTCAGCAGGGCATTTCAGCATAAATCACTTTCTTGTTGGATTTTTCTAGACAGGGCAAATGTGTCAACAGCTGGCTGGAGGTCCTGGTATTTGTTGCTGAATTTCCCTGGGCTCCTGTGAACATGCAAATGGTGTTTCTGTTATCTTAGGCTATTTTCCGGCAATTCACGGCACCAGTGAAACATTTTAGTCCTACCCACAAGGAGGTTTCTTTTTAATTCCAAGGCATATCAGAATTTTTAAAGTATCTTTCCCTTCTTTTTTCCTTAAAAACATTTTTACAATTATAGTGCACCCATACATCCTTGATGGCGCAGTGGGATTAAACAGCTCAGCTGCTGAACTTGCTGACCGAAAGATCAGCAGTTCGAATCCGGTGAGTGGTGAGCTCCCACTGTTAGGCCCAGCTTCTGCCAACCTAGCATTCAAAAACATGCAAATGTGAGTACATCAATAGGCACCACTTATGCGGGAAGGTAATGGTACTCCATGCAGTCATGACCTTGGAGGTGTCTACTGACAACACCGGCTCTTCAGCTTAGAAATGGAGTTGAGCACCAACCCCCAGGGTCAGACATGACTAGACTTAATGTCAAAGGAAGCCTTTACCTTTACGATACATTAGTGACATAGTCTTTTGACTAGAACATGCTAAGAAAAATGTATTTATAAATACAGAGTGGAGAAAATTTGTCCTTCAAACTACCACAAAGCAAACTCTGGAAAATAAAAGAGATATAAACAACCAATTCTTTCCACTTTTTCCTAGCATCTGGAAATCTAAGTGATTTTGCCTCTGCGTTTGAAGGATGCTGTCATGACTCATAGCCTTAACTTCTTGAAATGTCTAACCTTCTTATAAGGATGACCTCCTTAAACCTTGAATCAAATATATGCAAGTATACAGCTTGAGTATCCCTTATCTAAAATGCTTAGGCCAGAAGTATTTTGGATTTCCCCCTAGATTTTGAAATTCCTGCATTTGCATATGCATACATATCTTGGAGATGTGACCCAAGCTTAAATGTAAAATTCATTGATGACTCATATGAACCATATGCCAATAGTCTGAAGATGGTGTACAGGGAGCGTCAGCTCCACTGGCTGCCAGTCTGCTACTGGGCTCAATTCAAAGTGCTGCCTTTGGCCTAGAAAGCCCTAAATGCTTCTGGTCCCACTTACCTATTTGGACACATCTCCCTTTATGAGCCAACAAGTGCTTTAAGATGGCTGGGGAGGCCCTGCTCTCGGTCCCACCTCCTTCACAAGCGTGACTGGTGGGGACAAGAGACAGGGTCTACTCAGTGGTGGCCCCTCAGTTGTGGCCCCTTTTTAGTGACATCAGGCAGGCCCCATACCTCCTGGTCTTCAGAAGAAAGCTAAAAACTTGGCTCTGTATGCTGGAATTTGGAGAATAGGCTAAATCGGAATTTGACCACAACAGTTTGGTTAATGACTAGGTAAAGGTAAAGGTTTTCCCCTGACATTAAGTCCAGTCATGTTTGAATCTGGGGGTTGGTGCTCATCTCCATTTCTAAGCCAAAGAGCTGGCATTGTCCGTAGACACCTCCAAGGTCATGTGGCTGACATGACTACATGACTTCTTGCTGGAGCAGTACCTATTGATCTACTCACATTGGAATGTTTTCGAACTGCTAGGTTGGCATAAGCTGGGGCTAACAGCGGGAGCTCATGCCACACCCTGCATTCGAACTTGTGACCTTTCGGTCAACAAGTTCATCAGCTCAGCAGTTTAACCCACTGCTCCACTGTGGGCTCCCCTGGTTAATGACTACGGACTAACTAATAAGTATAAAATCAAGACTCGGTACTTTAGGTTTTAATATGTTTTGTGTTTTAATCTGTTTTATTGTATTATGTATTTTATTTGCTCATATGTTTGACGGTTTTATAGTTTGATAGGGTATGCTTATTGTTATGTTTATGCAGAGGCGGCCCTAGGTAATTTTCAATGTAAGCAAACAGTATTCCCCCCCCCCCCCCAACCAATCACTGATATATATTTTTTCTGTTCATCATGGAAGTTCTGTGTGCCATATTTGGTTCAATTCCATCATTGGTGGAGTTCAGAATGCTCTTTGATTGTAGGTGAACTATACATCCCAGTAACTACAACTCACATATGTCAAGGTCTATTTTCCCCCAAGAGCGCCTCAAGAGCGCCCCTGAGCAAAATCAACTATACTGCAAATCAGGCCCATAGCCAGGATTTTGTTTTGGGGGGAGCTGAGTGAAAGAGGGTCTATCCTAGCAAACCTTTTGTATCGTTACCCCAATACCCCCATGCATATGGGATATATTGAGCATGGTGATCAGATCATGATATGAATAAACATAACAGTTTAAATAATGTACCAGTAAGGCCTTCTCGCGGACCACCATGCGAATTTCGGGGGGGGGGCTGAAGCCCCCCAGCCCCCCCCCCCCCCCCCGCTATATGCCTGCTGCAAATGCTCGCTTTGCGTAATGGGTTGAGCTGCCCCTGTGTCTATGATGTAGCATTGAATTTTTGCCGGAGTTTGTAAGCTGCCTTGAGTCCACTGTGGGGTGAGAAAGGCGGGGTATAAATGAAGTAAATAAATAAACTTAGATTTCTTTCTCATCTCCTTCTGACTGCTGGTGTGCATTTCAATTTTCCTAACCTCTTCAAATATCACCAAATATCACTAGCCCTTCCCTTTTGATTAGCAAAGTACAGAATTTCTGTTATGAGCTGTTGAAGGAATTTGAATTGCATTCAGGGCAGGGAGCAACAATATGGTCAATTCTGTTATTTCTATCTTGTTCATTCACGGCAATTAAATGACTGCAGAGCCCTGGTTTGGCCGGAGTCAGAGAGTAATTAGCATAATGATGGCTTTGGCACTCGTCTGGTATTCACCGCAAAGCTGTGCGCTGGAGCAACATAGGAAATGAATATAAAATATGTGTGTGTGTGTATATGTGTAAAACATAAAACAAATATAATAAATCACTAAAATAACCAATTATTCAAATTAATACTACACATTCAACGCTAAAATTAAAAGTATGGGAGAAGATCGATAGGACGGAAATTATTTTTGAAGGAAAAAATGACCCAAGGGCTCAACCAATTCCTCATTTAAACAGAAGCCAGTTGCATTTGGACTTCAAGTCTTCAGTAGCCAATATAAATCTTACATTGTTCAGTATCCCCCCCCCCCCAATTAAAAGCAACACTGGAGTATGGAGTTGTACAAAATAAAAATGTTTCTTTTTCTTCACTCCCCATTGATGATGATGATGACGACGACGACGACAACAATAACAACAACACTTTGGAAGTGTCCGACATGTGATCCAATACAACAGTCAGCAGAGTGATGTTGTCTGCTGTGGACTCATCTTGTTGTGTTTCAAATAATAATAATAATAATAATAATAATAATAATAATAATAATAATAACCCGCCCTCTCTCCCTGAAGGGACTCAGAGTGGTTTCCAAATAAAAATGGCAAACATTCAATGCCCATGTGAGATCATGAGAGAAACTTCCCACAAGGATGATAAAACATCAAAACATCCAACTCTTGTCTGTTGGAGGGAGGTGTTAATGTTTCAGTTGGCCACCTTGATTAGCATTTAATGGCCTAGCACAGGGGTTCTCAAACTAAGGCCCGGGGGCTGAATGCGGCCCTCCAAGGTCATTTACCCAGCCCTCGCTTAGGGTCAACCTAAGTCTGTAATGACTTGAAGAAAGAACTCTTGTCTGTTGGCGGTAGGTGTGAATGTAGCAATTGGCTACCTTGATTAGCATTTGATGGCCTAGCGGTTTTAAATGTGGCTTCTTACTGCCTGGGAGAATCCTTTGTTGAGAGGTGATTAGCTGTCCTGATTGTTTCTTCTCTGGAATTCCCCTGTTTTTGAGTGTTGTTCTGTATTGACTGTTATTATTTTAGAATTTTTTAATACTGTTTGGTTGTTAGAGTGGTCCAGCATTTCTGTGTTCTCAAATAATATGCTGTGTCCAGGTTGGGCAGACAACCTGATGACCTGTGGACCTTCTCCCAAACTGCCATAATATAGAATCATAGAGCTGGAAGAGACATTGTGGACCATCCAGTCCAACCCTCTGCCAAGAAGCAGGAGAATTGCATTCAAAGCACCCTTGACAGATGGCCATCCAGGTACTGCTTAAATCACAGTGTGGACGATGAGTTAATTTGAACAACTGATTGTTTTAATGATTTACTATAACTGTGTTTGTGTGTGTGTGTGTGCGTATGTATATATATATATACACATACACACGCACACACACATTACTTTACTTAACATATATACACATACACATACATACACACACACACAAATACATTTTATATTCATATCTTAACCTTTTGCTGATCTTTCTTTGTTTCAATGAAACAAAACCATGTGGATAGGGGAAAAAAGGGGGGGCGGTCTTTGAATTCCTAACAGTATAGCACATCTTACTATGGTCTCTTTATAACTTGTCGTTAAGCATGAAAATGAAAGCACACTTCCACTCCGCAATATGACAGACACATCAGAAGAAGCCTAGATGCTGAGCAACAATTGCCAGTCCCTTGCAGCATGACCACTGCTTCTCCAGTGCTCCCTCCCCTTGCATTCGCAGGAAACCACCAGATCTGAGATCTCATCCATCCATCCTCTTTAATACGTTGGTGCTGCTGTCCATCCCCAGCTAAAACCCGAGGGCAGATTCTGCATCTCAGCCCTAGCAACCCCTGAAACAGAGGCTCCGCGGTATCCCAACCGTTTCCCTTGGTTACAGAGAACTGTGGAGACACGTTGCTGCTGAGGCCAAGAGACGGGAATGAATAAGCCCCCTATTTATACGTACGTAGGAGGTATTCCGCGCTGTCGTGATCGTAGTCTGTGTCCTCTGGAAAATGGTTAATTTTTACACATACACCTCGCTTCAGCCCTAGAATGGAGAGAGAATACACCAAAATTACCGGTATGCAAAAGTGTTCTTTGAACATGGCTTTAGCTCAGAGCCACATTCGGATGTGTTGCTCAGAACTACTTAGCCTTCATGCCAGATTTCCCCCATGCAGTCGCCCACTCATGACCTCGGGGTTGCCGTGATGTTATAATATACATGCTGTAAAATTCCAATATTCTCTTTCACACACTCCTTGCAGTTAGAGCCATTTGGATTTAGATAAGACAGAATTTTCTGCAGCTGAATACCCTTCCATTTTTCTAAATCTCATAATTCTCTCTTCCTATCCACTGAAATACAGGGTCATCAATACCTTTCCCATATTAAACCAACTAGACCAGTGATCTCAGAAAATTCCTACGGCCATTGGTCATATGACCCATCCCAAGCTGGATCTACACTGAAATATAATGCAGTTTGAATTACCTTATATGGTCAGTGTAGAACCATATTGGTGAGGATGAGAGAGAGGGCCTTTTCAGTGATTGCCCCGTGGCTATGGAACTCTCTCCCTGGCGAGATTACATCAGCCCTCTCCTTCCTGTCCTTCAGAAAGATGGTAAAAACTTGGCTGTGGGACCAAGCATTTGGGACAGTGCAATAAGGTAATAATAGGAAAGCCTATCCTGTTGACAGGAGTCGATATGGATGGTTGAAACAGTTTTAAACAGTTGATTTTAATGTGGGATAACAGATTTTAATGTTTATGTATTTATGTTTATGTTTTGGCATTGAATGTTTGCTGTGTATATGTTGTGTTCTGACCTGAGTCCCCTTCAGGGTGATAAAGGCGGAAGATAAATGATATAAAGAAATAAATAAATAAAATTCATATTGAACTGCACTGGACATTATATGGGTCACTTCCAGGCATGGGAAAACGTGGGCCCTCTAGGTGTTTTGGACTTCAACTCCCATGATTCCTAATAGCCTCAGGCCCTTTCCTTTCCCCCCTCAGCCGCTGAAGGCCTGAAACTGTTAGGAATTGTGGGAGTTGAAGTCCAGAACACACGGGGGGCCCAAGTTTGCCCATGCCTGGTCGACACTGACCATATAATGCAGTTCAAACTGGATATAGTAGTGTAGATCCAGCCCCGTGCCATCTCTTTTTCAGACTCTTCTTCCTTTCCTCTCCTTCAGCCATGCTTCACTTCTCCATCAACCATATGACTGAGTTAAGAATTAAGCTCTTTGCCTTACCTAGCCTTTTCTTGAGCTAGTTAGGATGTATAATATGCAAATGTAAAAGCCATTAGTGAACTTTTTCTAAGGTTGTAATCAGAAACTATCTGCCCTGTTTATTTTGAGTCAGTTTCAGTCCCGGGAAGCAACACGAGTTTCATATATCTGCAATTATGGTAAAAGAAGGTTGACTACTAACAGTTTTAGCTATCATATTTTTTCCAACATGGGTTAAAGCTAAAAATGTTAATGTTGCCCACTGGAACACCAATATTTATCAGTGCTCTACATACAAACATACCAGCAACTCTTGAAAGTTGTAGTCTGGTGAGGTATCTGAACTATTTATAGAATCACAGAATCGTTGAGTTGGAAGAGACCTCATGGGCCATCCAGGCCAACCCCTGGGCAAGAGGCAGAGAATGCTAAAGGTCTTGTAAAACTATAACTCCCATGTTTCCCTAGACTTGAGCAATGGCAGTGAAAGTGGTGTCAAATTCTGCACCTTAAGTAATGGAGTGTTTGTCAGAACAAGAAGCTTTGGAGAAGCAATCCATTCTTCTCCATTTACATGGTGTAAGGTTGAGCTTCTACACACCCAGCATATACTCTATTCAATAGCCCGCAGGTGAGAAATAGAGACAGAGTTTTGCAGTCTGTCCTGCCTTGAAGGTTGGAGGGAGAAGCACATTAGTTGTCAGACTGAGTGAGGGAAAGGATGTCAGTGTTGCGGAAACGTGAAAGTGCCTGAATTTGTCCGGCTGTACAGAGATGAGCAGGAGGATGTGAACAGGAGGCACAGCGTCTGCAGCCTTGTTCAAGACATTCACAGCATTTAGCCTTAAGGCACAGTTTCCGGGTGAAAACCTGGGTTCTCTGATTGAGTCTTGTGTGGGCAACGTGGCAGCCTGTTTGCGGGTATGTGGGTAGGATGAGGAATTCAGGAGTGAGAGACTGCTTCATATTAATAACATATATTTATTTAGAGCCTCGGTAATGCTTGTCTTGACAGGCAGTCTGTGTTGAAGGCTGGCTTGTAGATTGTAGCAAACCCACCTACACCAAGGTGGTGGGAATGGGAGTAACCTTCTCTGGGGATCCCTGATCATCCCCCACAAAGACAGGTGGAAGAGATTCCCAAGAACTCTCTTTTAAGTTCTGGCCATATGTGTGAATGCAACTGTTTATTCATGTACAAGTGACATTTGTCTGTGCCGCACATCTGCGGTTGGATAGCATCCTATATAACATGAAAGTTTGGCATGTGGAGCTACACTATTGCTTGCCATTCACAAACCTTGGTGTTACTATGGAGCTGCTATATCTCTCCCATGGCCCTTCCACGCCTGGTGGAAAGTACACAGAGGAGTTAGGTCATGCATGGGCAAGCTTCAGCCGTCCGGGTGTTTTTGGAATTCAGCTCCCACAATTCAAATGGTTATGAATGCCATTTTTTTCTCCAAAAGGTTATGGATATTCTGGTCTTCCAAAATTAATATGTATTTGATAGAGATATGTTTGGGTGTTTAACTTTTATAGAGGTAATGTTGCAATGTATCCTTGAAGTGATTGGATTGACCTTGAAGGAGCTGGGGGTGGTGACGGCCAACAGGGAGCTCTGGCGTGGACTGGTCCATGAAGTCACAAAGAGTCGGAAACGACTGAACAAATGAACAACAACAAATGTTGTAATATGTGTATTGGTGGTGTTTTTGCTGTGCTTGTGTGTTCTGTAACCCGCCTCAAGCCATGAGGAGAGGCAAGTAAGAAATAAAATTATTATTATTACTACTACTACTACTACTACTACTACTACTATTACTATCCTTCCAAAGGTTTATACATGGCTATTGGGCCCCTTCTCCTTTAGCATTGCATGGCTTTTGCAAGAAAAGTTACTTTGGAGAGAGTGAAGACTCCTAGAATCATGCACCTGAGTCACCATCCCCAACTCAGGATATAACTTATATGGAGAGGTAATAGATAAATCTATTTATCAATCTATAACATCCATCCATCTACCTACCTACCTGCCTACCTACTGGCTGTTAGGAATTGTGGGAATTGATGTCCAAAACACCTGGAGGGCTGAAGTTTGCCTATACCTGGGTTAGATAATATTTTTGGAAAATAGGAGAATTTGAATTTTGGATAGATGCCAATTTTGGCAGGATAAATTTGGTGAGGCAGCAGGGATGGCTTAAATGATGCTGAGCTGGGATTTGTTTTGCCACATGAGACACTAGATTGTCCCATTGGAGAATGAACTCAGATAGATTCACAAATGAATGGTTGCTTTACTGATTTTTGTGAGGAAGCTGCCACTAACCAAGAGTGTCAGCAAGTAGTAAAGCATGTTTTGTTAATCTATGTAGAGTAAGAGGGGATACAGTTGAAATATCTGATTTTTAAAACCCTGCTTACATAAAGTAAATAGGTGCTCTCTAGGCTGTTACTGTGATGCGGACTAACACCCTGCCCCTGGTACAATAATATAAGCCAACCATCAACTATTTCAGGCAGTAGACTATTAGGAATTGTGGGAGTTGAAATCCAAAACACCTGAGGGCCAAAGTTTGCCCATGCCTGAACTATCTCATCTTCATTGTTGTTTTATGTCCCTTGATCCCACCAGAAATTTGATATAATGTTTGGACAAAGGAAGAAATATTAGCAACCAGATTTTAGTTTGTACGTGTTTTACTTTTTTTGCTTTTCTGCTGCTCAAACTGTCTTTCATTCAGCTTGTTTCTCTAGATGCCTCTCTCATTTAGCACTCATGAAGCGGTGTCACTACAGCTGGTTCCTGGATTTACACTAGCATTGCCATCTTTCATTCAGTCACATTTCATTGAGAATTTAGCTGGTGCCATCACCAATTGTATTCCTTTCATAGCATTTTAAATTTTTATCTTCTTATCTCTTTTCCAGATCCAAATTGTGGCATATAGGTTTGTTTGCAATTGGATATAATTAGTGTATCAACTGGTCTGAAATGGACGAGGAAAACATTAGTTATCCATAGCCTACTGTAGAAGCTACTGGTACCGCAATGGTTTAAACCCTTGCACCAGCAGGATTGCTGACTGAGAGGTCAGCGGTTTGAATCTCGGGAGAGCTCCCTGTGTCAGCTCCAGCATGAAAGAAGCCACCCACAAGGATGGTAAAACATCAAACATCCAGGCGTCTCCTGGGCAATGTCCTTGCAGATGGCCAGTTCTCTCACACCAGAAGCGACTTGCAGTTTCTCAAGTCACTCCTGATATGAATAAATAAAAAAATAATAACCTGCTGCATGTTTCATTAAAAGCATTCTCCTTGTTGTTTCTGCCTTTGATTGCCTCTGGTTCAGTCTTGGTCAGCTTCCATTCCCTATCAGGGCAAGGAGATTTGACTACCAATTTCCTCTCCTTCTTTGCCTTCTGTTATCACTGATATTATTTTGCAAATAAAAATAAAATAAAACAGGAAATCAAAATGTAAATGGCCTTGGTATTTACATCAGTCCTGAATCCAGCATTTAAATACTGTGATGAAAGGAAATTAATATTTCAATGAGGCATGGAACATGACTAATTGAGAGGCAGTGAAGAGGAGTCTTCAGTAATGCTGATGCTGCACTGCACAGGTAGCAATTAGAGGCAGGAGCTGCAATGAGGAAGCTTCTAATTAATGTTGCAGAGGAACTTTGATTAATTGGTCATTCTAGAACAGGCATGGGCCAACTTTGGCTTAAGCGGCTGAGGGGGGAAAGGAAAGGTCTGAGGCTGTTAGGAATTGTGGTCAAATAAAACACCTGGGGGGGCCAAGTTTGCCCATGCCTGTTATAGAATGATCCTAGCCCCAAGAGTGGTGTAAATGTGTCCATGGGGCCTGTTTTGTGCCCTGAAACGTTCCCCAAGAGACCCTCAATCCTCCTATCCTTCTCAATTAAAACAAATTATTTTCCAGCCAAAATATGTACCCCAAACAGCCACAGAAATGTGATAGAGCTCTCACCCAGTCTGTTTCAAATACCTAAAGAATGAAGAAAAACAGCAGCTGGTGTAAACAAACCTGGATGTGATGTTCCATTGCTTCCATTGCACCAGGAAATGAGAGTCTATATAGGCATAGATACTGGATGTCTTCTACAGTAAGGACTGTTCTTCTTTCAAGCATTTGTCATTTGCATCCTCTGTCTCCCTAAATTTATTTTCCACTAGATTTTCCTTCTCAACAAAATGCATTAATGTTCTTTTCCATTATTGACTGATGCCCTATTCCAAAACACCTGAAGGACCGAAGTTTGCCCATGCCTGGGTAGACCCACATAATTCAGACTGAACTGCAATGAACATTATATGAGTCTGCAGTGACCATATTATCAGTTCAAACTGAACATAGTGGGATACTGTAGAATTGGGGCCCATTTACACATCACAATTATAGAAGTATTATCCCACTTTAACTGCTATGGCAACATCCTATGGCCGTGTTTCTCAACCTGGAAGTCGGGACTTCTGGGGAATCATGAGGGGGTGTCAGAGGAGTAGCCAAAGACCATAAAAAAACACAGTATTTTCTGTTGGTCATGGGGGTTCTGTGGGGGAAGTTTGGCCCAATTCTATCCTTGGTGGGGTTCAGAATGCTCTTTGATTGTAGGTGAAATATACATCCTAGCAACTACAACTCCCAAATGTCAAGTCTATTTTCCCCAAACTCCACCAATGTTTACATTTGGGCATACTGAGTATTTGTGTGAAGTTTGGTCCAGATCCAGCATTGTTTGAATCCACAGTGCTCTCTGGATGTAGGTGAACTATAGCTCCAAAACTCAAGATCAGGGCCCATCAAGTCCTTCCAGTATTTTTGTTGGTCATGGGAGTTCTGTGTGCCAAAGTTGATTCAAGTCCATCATTGGAGGAGTTCCAAATGCTCTTTTATTGTAGGTTAACTATAAATCCCAGCAACTGCAACTCCCAAATGACAAAATTAATCCCCACCAGTATTCAAATTTGGGCGTATTGGGTATTTGTGCCAGATTTGGTCTAGTGAATGAAAATACATCCTGCACATCAGATATTTACATGATGATTCATAACAGTAGCAAATTACAGTTCTGAAGTAGCAATGAAAATAATATTATGGTTGAGGGTCACCACAACATAAGGAACTGTATTAAGGGGTTGTGGCATTAGGAAGGTTGAGAACCACTGCCCTATAGAATCCTGGGAATGGCAAGGAAGGGTATTCAGAATTCTCAGCTAGACTAATCCAGCCCCTTGCCAAACTACAAACCCCAGGATTCCATAGCATGTTGCCATGGCCAATAAAGTGGTATCATAGCATTATCATGATGCAATCTGAATGGCCCCTGGGTTTCCAAGGACTGGGTTCCTCACCTTCTAAGCAACATATCCTCCAAAGACCTGAATGGGTAAGTCCTCCAGGGTCTTTCTTGTCCTTCTGGGGAGTTTCCTCAGTAGAGATGTTGGTGGTATTGCAGATGAAGGCACGGGCGTACAGCCAGTAATCTGTGCCAATGGCAATGATCATGAGGCCAAAGGCCGCAAAGGCCCCCACAGTGGTGAGTAGAATCTGGACACCTTTCTCACACCACACCATCCTTTCCTCATTCCAGCGCTTAAGTGACTCCAGCTTGGCGGTGAGAAACGAAGCCAGCACGAATGAATGCAAGTGGTACTAAGAGTGGTGAGGATGGAGGACTTGCCTACTGCAGCTGGCTTCCTCTCAGTCAGAATTTGGAATGCTGATGGCTTTTGAGAAATCACAGCAGGAGACTGCCTTTGTTTACTTAGCTTTCGTGTAGAAGGAGCCTTGGGATTGGACAGGCGAGGAAGATTGTCTTTGTAAGATCTTGGGAATGCTGCGAGGAATACTGGCAGAGGTTCTTCTGGTTTGCTTCTGGAATACTTAGTTCTCTTGGGAGCTCTTCTTCAAATATGTAGCAGGAAAATATAAATGGATTGTCCCTTTTTTTAAAAAAGGAGCTTGCCAAAGAAGTGGCAGAAATCACATTCAGAATTTTTGGAGAATGATTGAGAACTTGAAGAAAGCGTACAAGTGATTTGTATAGAAATTGTTGAGAGCAATTCAGAAAAATATGGTGGAGGACACAACTGGAAAATGAAGGAATTGACAACTAGCAGGCTGTGGAATGGCAGGAATAGCAGCGGGTCTATTCTGATGTGGAAATCCTGACAAGCTAGTTGACAATCCTTTGGAAGGCTACTACAGTATGGCACGTAGATGCCTACTAGTAGGACAGCAGAAGGTCTCTATCAAAGATCTAGATATTTACTGGAGATTTTCTGGAAGCTTGTAGGGATTTTCTGGAGAGATGCTGAGCAATGGAAGCTATAGGAAAATCTACAGGATCTCTAAATTGCTTGTATTAATCTTCTGAATGGATGACGAGGAACCTGCGGAAGTCCTGTGGAAAGACTAGAACATTCAAAGACACTTTGTTGTGTTTTCTGAAAACTGTTGCTCCCTGAATCTACACAACTTCAGTGAGTTTTTAGGAATGCTTGGGAACGTTCTCAGTATCTTCAGATCAAGTTTCTTGGTTTCTTTTCCTCTTTTTCTTGCTTGCCTGTTTTCTGTTTCTCTTTCGGATCTTCCAAATTTCTCTTTGCTTGAGAAATCTTGAGTTTCAGCTGCTGCTCTTCAGTCTTGAGGCACAGATTGGTTTATGGAAATCACTTGAACTTTTTTACTCAGCTTGCCAAGGACCCAACTAGTTGTGTGACTCTGTGATTCCTGAGGTAAAAGAAAGAACAGGAAGAGAGACAGGGAAGAAAAGAATTGATTAAGAAAAAAAATACACACGTAAGGCAAGGATTCCCTGATGCTCTGATGTGACCGCAAAGTGAGTGTGGATTATTAGGTCCTTGTAGACAGGCATCCTTTGAACACTCAAATTTCTATACCCTATTGGCTCTTAGAAAAAGGTTTTCCTTTCCTACTTTGCTGTTTCTCACAAGAATTTTACACGGATATGTTTACATTAGTGTGCCTCAGTATTGAAAACCCATTTCAGCATAAATTGAGAGTAAAAAGGAGTGTCTCTGGCTGACATATAAGTACCTACTACAGAATATGCGGGGGAACCATATAGATTCCTGACCCATCTATTGCATGCAGTCTACAAGTACAATGTTACATTTCCAGCACTATTATGCATTAAGTGTATAACTGAGCTACCATGGCATGAGGAATCTAGCACACTTCAGAAACAAATTATATTTCACAAACTGGGTGCCCAGAGGTAAGGGCCTCTGAGCATAGACCAATATGTTATTTCCTAGACACAATTCCTCTGGTGGCACAAGGGGTTAAACCCTTCCGCTGGCAGGACTGAAGACTGACAGGTCAGAATCTGGGGAGAACGTGGATGAGCTCCCTCTGTCAGCTCCAGCTCCCCATGGGAGGACATGAGAGAAGCCTCCTACAAGGATGGTAAAACATCTGGGTGTCCTTTGGCAATGTCCTTGCAGACGGCCAATTCTCTCACACCAGAAACAACTTGCAGTTTCTCAAGTCACTCCTGACATGAAAAGAAAATCAAAAAACAAAAACACAATGGCTGGCTCCTGTGAGTCTTGATTTATGGGGGAAAAGTTTTAAGTTTTGGTTGATTAAAATATTCAAAACTTACTGAATATTTTCAGGTATAAGTCTAGAAATTTTGCTCAAAAGCTACAATGTGAGCCAACCTATTAACAGGTAATTACTGCACCTTAATTCTTATTTTTAAAAAGAAACTATTGCCTTCTCTGACTGGAATGGCAGAAAGCGAGAGCTTAGCCCACGGGAGCTTAGCCCATCCTGGGGAAACCTAAAAGAAACTCTGACTCATCTGGCCTTTCTGAATGACTTAAGAGAAAAATAGTGGTGAAGGGGTGGCTGGTCCCTCGAAGTGGAACTGTGCTTTCTCTTTTCTGTAGAATGACCCTCGACTTATCCATGGGTCATATCAAAATCCATAATTTTGGCCTCATAACCTCCCCTCAACCTATATATAAGGTCAACATATACACAAATGTATGAAACCTGTAGTATGAGATACATCTTTGATGGTTGACTATAGTTTTGTGTGTCTGTGTGTCTATCTCAGACATGGGTAAACTCCAGCCCTTCAGGTATTTTGGACTCCAACCCTCACAATTCCTAACAGCCTCAACCCCTTCCTGAGGTTGTTAGGAATTGTAGGAGATGAAGTCCAAAACACCTGGAGGGTCCAAGTTTGCCCATGCCTGGTCTATCTCCACTCTGGTTTGTAAATATGTTGGGTCATATCCTATCCTTGTTGTCTAGCTGTGGAGGATATAGAAACGTTGCTTAATTTCTTATTTCACTTACACTATAAATCTCTTTTCTCCTTATTATTTATTTTATTTATTTATTTACGTCTCTTATATCCCGCCCATATCAGCCCGCAGGTGACTCAGGGCGGTCCTTAAACTTATCGTATAGCAATGTTTCTCCACCTTTTAAAAAACAGTTCCCTTTTTATGAACTTATCATCCAAATCATAATTTTGTTTGAAATTCATTCACTGAAATCAACCACTCAATTGCTTTATTTATGTTTCATCTTTTCCCCAAAGTGGGGCTAAAGAAGAGCTACAGAATAAAAAGAAATACGAGGGAAATCACACATAACTAAAACATTCGAAACATCACAATTAAAATGATATTAAAATATCTGTAGAATAAAAGATCATGTAAAACTTTAAAGGCAAAGATTAAAAACAGTACAATCCTAAAACAGAAATTGTCAGAGTGAAAACTGGAAACAGCACTTTTGCACTTAATGGTTGTGTAGAAGGAAGCATTTCAGTAGGTACCAATTGTTACCTGATGTGTGACAAACAATGCCAGCTGAAATCCCCCCCCCCCCCTTGCAGCTATTAAAATACAGGAATCATCTCCAGTTTTCATTCTAACAACCCTTTCCTCCAGGAAGCAAATCCCAATCTAGGAGCAGCCACTGAGAAGTCCATCATTTCCTGGGCAAGACTGAGACCTTCTGCAAGACCTTCTGCAAGATCTTAAGAGTTCAAGGAGGCTCATATGGGAACTCTCTCTCTTTAGAGCAGTGATTCTCAACCTGTGGGTCCCCAGATGTTTTCATCTTCAACTCCCAGAAATCCTAACAGCTGGTAAACTGGCTGGGATTTCTGGGAGTTGTCGGCCAAAGCACCTAGGGACCCACAAGTTGAGAACCACTGCTTTAGTGAGTGTAGACATGGGATGTATAGGCTTTTATAGGTCCTAATATAAAAGCTGTAGAGGTGCGTTTCTCCACAACTCTCAAATCTTTACTCATCCATGGAAACCAATAGCCTGATCTTGGCCAAGTTACCTTAGGCAAGTCACACTCTCTCAGCCTCAGACAGAAGCACCCCCAAAAAAATCTTGCTAAGAAAACCCTGTGATAGGTTCTCCTTAGGGTCAGCATAAAGCAGAAATGACTTCGAAGGCACACAACAAGAACCAGTTCATGACCTGCATATGAGAAAACAAATGCACAAAAAAGAAAACATTTCTCCATTTGGAAAACATTTTTTTGGTTGGGATATTGTTTTTGACACTAGGGGCATAGCCGACTTAGTGGAGATAAACGCTATCACTATTTTTGGAGATCTTTAAACAGAGATTGGATGGGCATTTCCTACGCGTGCTTTAGCTGTGTATTGCTACATGGCAAAGAGGTGAAACCTTCCATCTTGTGGTCCCTTCCAATGTTTATGATTCTACAATCTACTTTACACTGCAGTGTAATTCAGAGATAAGGGGAAATGATAGATGTTTTACTGTGCGTCATAGGATGATGCAGTAAGCTGTGTTCTAAGAAAACAATAGACATAATTGGTTTTTTCCTGTTTTCCAAGTTTAAAATGATACCAAATATGTTTTTTAAACCACACACGCCTCCCTTGAAACTCTGACACACATTTACGGTACGGAGGGAGCACAAAGGAAAGGTTGAGAATCATCATCTTATACCTTCTCTTTCTTTCTCCTACTATCAGTATATTGGATAGTGGAATGTATTTTAAGCAGATACTAGGAGAAAATGTAGTTATCATTTAATAAATAACTGGTTATCTGTGGTCACTTTTAATGGTACATATGCTTCTGGTGACTGTGAAAGTGGATTAAGTCAGTACAGGTTGAGCATCCTTTATCCAAAATGTCTGGGACTAGAAGTGTTTTTGATTTTGGATTTTTTTTCCAGATTGTGGAGTACTTGTGTTTACTTATACCTACATATATCTTGGAGCTGGGATCCAAGTCTAAACACCACATGATCCTTCATTGAAAACAGTGTGTATAAAATGGCCATCAGCTATGTATATAATGTCTATGTAGCCTGAGGGTCATGTTATACACAAAATTTTTAAAATAACTGTGAGTGTATAACAAAACTTTAGTATATTAAAACTTTGGAAAGCAAAAGTGTCTCTACCCTAGACAATTGTAGATTCTTGAACAGTCCGAATAAAGAGCGGTCAACCTATACTAAGCAGAGTGGCAATCCATGGACTTGTGTTGGTGCATGAGTTATCAGTTGCTTGTCCATAGGAACCTCACATTAATGCCAGAAATAATTGTAGCTAATGGTTACACATATGGTACTAGTCTCTGGCACCATACTCTCCAGCTACCCTGATTTGGCTGGAACAGTCCCAATTAATCCCACTTTTTCAAATACTTTTAAAATGTCCCAGTGTAACCCACTTCCTTCTGGGCTTGTGCACGGATTCGGAGTGGTCGGTTCCCTTTGGCCAATCTGGCTTTTTCGGCTTGGTTGGATGGCTGTAATGGCAAGGGCCCAGCCATCACATTTTTTCGTCTGTAATGGGATCACGTAGCAGCCAATAATGGCTCCTCCTCCCCTATTCATCATTACGTGGCGCGCAAAGAGGCTGTTATGTGCTGCTCACATAGGGTTTTCCTGTGAGCACTGCCTGTTGGGCCAATCAGAACAGAAGAATGCTGTGATGTGTCTTATGCAAGCTGTGTCTAGGAAAGGGTCCCAAGAGGGGTGCTTCCTTAACCCCATTCTTCAAACTCAGGCTCTCTTGAAAGAAAGAAAAGGGTCCCAAAAAGGATGCTTCATTTACCCTTTCTTCAAATCCAGACTCCCTTGAAAGGAAGATAGGAAAGGGTCCCAAAAAGGATGCTTCCTCAACCCCATTCTTCAAACCCACACTCCCTTGAAGGGAAGAAGAAAAGAGTCCCAGGAAGGATGCTTCCTTAACCACATTCTCCAAACCTAGACTCCCTTGAAAGGAAGACAAGAAAGGGTCCCAGGAAGTATGCTTACTCAATCCCATTCTTCAAACCCAGATCCCCTTGAAAAAATATATGAAAGGGTCCCAGAAAGGATGCTTCCTTAACTCCGTTCTTCAAACCAAGACTCCCTTGAAAGGAAGATAGGAAAGGCTCCCAGGAAGGATGCTTCCTCAACCCTGTTCTTCAAATCCAGACCCCTTGAAAGGAGGAACGAAAGTGGTCCCAGGAAATATGCTTCCTTAACCCCGTTCTTCAAATCCAGACCCCCCTTGAAAGGAGGAAAGTAAGAAGTCCCAGGAACGATGCTTCCTTAACCCCATTCTTCAAACACATACTCCCTTGAAAGGAAGGTAGGATCCCAGGAACAGTTCCCCATAAGTTCCCCATTCCCACGAATGCACCAGATCTTTCTGGATATTTGGCTGCCTAGCCATAAACAGATGTTTCTATTAGCCA